GGGTCTGCCCTGGTGACTAAATCAGAACATCAGGAGAAGAATAAGGATGACCAGCCAAGGAATTCAGGAAGGGAGAACCAGAGAAGGGAAAATAGAGATAATCTGTGGTGCACCTACTGCAAGAAGTCGAGGCATACAAAGGAAAATTGCTGGAAGTTGAATGGTAAACCTCCAAGCAGTGAGTGGGGAACACGTGGTAGACAACAGAGGCCCCAGGCTCATCTCACGGAGCAAGCAAAGGCTGAAGGAGGAGCGGACAGCCAGGGATTTAAGGGAGAAGAGATAGGGTTCAAAAGGGATGAGATTGAAAAATTAAGGAGTCTATTGAGTTCTCTTGAAAAACCATCCGGAGCTAGTTCCTTAGTTCTCTCAGGTAAACTAGTGATTTCTTATGGATTGCACGCTTCTGGAAAATTTTTTGATGATTCTTGGATATTAGATTCTGGAGCCACAAACCACATGACACACTCCTCACATTTTTTCCGTACATATACTCCTTGTCCGAGTAATAGGAAGATTATCGTGGCAAATGGAGAATTAGCTACAGTGGCAGGTTTAGGAGATGTTTATATTAATCCCTCCGTGGTCCTTAGAAATGTCTTGCATGTGCCGAAGTTATCAACTAATCTTATTTCTATTCAAAAACATACAACTGACCTTTAAGTGTTGTGCGATATTTTTCTTGTCTCATTGTGTTCTTCAGGATCAGGCCTTGGGGAGGAAGATTGGACTTGCTAAGGAAAGAAACGGTCTCTATCATTTGGAAATTTCAAAGAAAACCGCCAGTAACTTGCATGTGTCTCTTCTCAGTACCTCCAATAAAGATGTCATCTGGCTTCACCACTATCGTCTTGGTCACCCGTCCTTTAGAGTCCTACAACTTATGTTTCCACAATTGTTCATAGGAATAGATGTTTCTGAGATTCATTGCGATGTTTGTGAACTAGCAAAACATACTCGTGTTCCTTTTCCTATCAGTAATAAAAGAAGCGTTTTTCCTTTTCAATTGATCCATAGTGATATTTGGGGTCCATCTACTATTCCTAATGTATCAGGGGCTCGTTGGTTTGCCTCATTAATTGATGATTGCACACGTGTAACCTGGCTGTTTTTACTTAAACAAAAATCTGATGTCAGTCATATTATTCTCAGCTTTCGCTCCATGATCCAAAACCAATTTGGGGTGAAAATAAAAACCTTTAGGTCAGACAATGCTAGGGATTATTTCAACCAGGTTTTATCACCCTATTTTCAAAAGGAAGGAATTATTCACACTTCTTCTTGTGTGGATACACCCCAACAGGATGGGATAGCTGAGAGGAAAAATGGGCACCTATTAAATGTCACTAGAGCCTTGTTGTTTCATGGGAACATGCCTAAATCCTACTGGGGGGAAGCCGTCTTAACAGCCACACACATGATAAATAGATTACCTTCCCGTGTACTTGACAACAAGAGTCCTATGGCAATTCTTAATACCCACTACCCTCACTTTAGAACCTCAAATGGCCTTATAACCAGGATATTTGGATGTACAGCCTTTGTACATGTCCACCGCCCAAACAATAGGAAGTTAGACCCCCGGGCAACCAAATGTATTTTTGTTGGCTATTCATCCACACAAAAGGGGTACAAGTGCTATCATCCTCCAT